ATCCATCCATCCATCCATCCATCCATCCATCCATCCATCCATCCATCATCCTTACCCCTTTCTTCCTTTTTGGGTAGTGGGAGTCACTGGCGCCCATATCCAGAAGTCACTGTGCGAGAGAGGCGGGGGACACCCTAGACAGGTCTCCACTCCAGTCCATCACAGAGACACAAAGAGACAAACGAGACAACAACCATCCACTCTCTCACTCACCTACGGATAATTTAGAGCTACCAATAATCCTAACATGTATGTTTTTGGTCTGTGGGAGGAAAACGGAGGACTCGGAGAAAACTCATGCATGCACAGAGAGAACATGCAAACATGATCCATATTGTTAAGAACAAATATAATAAACATTCAAGACAGTAACAATGTATTCAAAGTCATTTAATCCTTTCTAATTACATGCATTTTACCTTTAGTGTTTAGTGGTTTAGTTACACGTTTATATCATCACAGTTGTGATGGAAATGCCATAAATTTTCTCTGAAGTGAAAATAAAAACACACAAAAAAACAACAGCGTTTCATAAAGTCAAAACAATATCACAAAACTTTTCCAAGAAATACAACAAAACAGAAAACATAACATTTCGGAATTCCAAGTAAAAAAAATTTCTAAAACCACAAAAACCAAAACAAAACTTCAGAAAACACTCAATTTCAGAAAATGTACTTGTTTTTTGTTATGTTTTCTTTACCATCCGAACATTGTTTTGTAGCTGATATTATACATTTTTGTTAAACGCTGTTCTACCCTCTAAATATCACCGTTATTGGTATTAAATTAATTAATTATGCAACAGTAATCAAAATGTGTTTTCTTTCTTTCAATTGAATTAACTTGCTTCATTCACTGTTGATTCCACCACCATTCTAACACAAAAATCATTCATCACATACTTGGAACAGACTGTCTGCTGTGGTAAAGACAGGCAAGTGCATAATGTCTCTGAGCTAGCAGAGAATGGTTGAGTACAGCAGAAAACCCTCTTTACCTCAAGCTGCAGACAAAAGAGAGGTACCTTAACCACCACTGTGTCTTTACACTTTGACATTTGGATGTTGCAGGCTGTCAATTAGGCTAACAAAAAAAAAAAACATTAGCTATGGAGCCTGAGAGTGGGCATAAACTCCCACAAAATGTCACAAGATGGACACAATTATGAATTATAACTTATAGCTAAATGACTAGTCACCTCTCTTCCTGCTTCTCTTTGTGCCTTTTGATGCTCAGCAACTCTACTTCTTCTGCAAGTTCTAACTCAGATCTCGATTTAGAAATCAGAACATTTAAAAAAGAAAAAAAAAAGATCTAGTCAATGCACCCCCCCCCCCCCCCTTAAAGAAAGACAATCTGACTTTCCACAGTTGTAATTATTGACATGATTAATATTGACGTATAGCAGTTAATTCCAAATCCTACTCTAAATTCTTGCCGGAACACTATATAAAGAAATCTGTGAGCTAATTTACCTGTGAAAGTAAGCAACATTTTTGTTTTCTGTTTGGGAAAAGCCAGATCACTTTATGTTTTCTGCTGTTGCACATTCTGGACTTTCATTATTGATCCTCTGCGTAAAAAGTACAACCATCCATTTCTCTCATTTTTACCCTCATTTATTATTTTACTTTACGACGCACCGTTGTCTCTTTCTTCTTCTTCATCTTGTGAAATGTGTTCTTCTATGTGCCTGTTATCATAATAATCTGGTGACACTTTGCACAAATGAATACAAATGATTTAGTCTAAAGAAATTAAAACGTTTTATACAAATTGCAAATTTATAAGATGCTAAACAAAATGCAAGTTTAAAAATACAAACATATTTTTCCTCATTCGTCTTTTAAACTATAACTTGCATTCAGTATTTCTAAAACCTTACAAATCATAAATAAAATAAAATAAATAAGCCTGCTCGGACAAAAATAAATAAAGAAGCTGCCAGCTATGTGTAAAAACTAAGATAAATCACCACAGTTTTACTCATATGTTCCTCTGATTTGCACGTGTTATTTGCAGCAGCTTTGTCTTGTGCGCACAAAGGAACTAAAACCTGAGCTGAATGTAATAAAATATGTCCATGGCATTTTGTTTTATGAATTCCTCTGAAAAGCCACTCCCTTACTCTGGAGAAAACGCATCAAACTTTGCTCAGTCACATAATAAACAAATCATGACTCAGACATTCACAGCTTGATAACACAAACCTACTTACAGCCTGCACGCGTTGACTCGTTTATTATTTAAATTCTTATCTTGCAGCTAATGATTCAGTAACTTGATGACTCACTTGGAAGATTACCCAGATTTTGGAGGGTCCTTGGTGTCTTTGCTCTCCTCTAGTGTCGTTTGAGCGCTGTCGTCTTCTCCACTGGCTGATTGGTCTTCGGGCTTGTGGCCACAGCACAGCTGTTTGAAGTAGCCGTTGAGCCGTTCCAGGATGTCGATGGAGTGGTTGATGACCAGGGCGAGCCAAGCCAGGCCAAAGAAGATCCAGGTTGCCATGATGAAACTGTACCAGTCTGGGTAATCATAATCTGGATTGCTGTCTGAGACACATAGTGTTTAGGAAAATTAATAAAATGCATGAGAAAATAAATAAATAAAAGAAAATGGGTGATTAAGGAGGTGCTGTACCGGCTACAAAATCTCCAAAACCGATGGTGCTGAGGGTGATGAAGCAGTAGTAGATGGCCTGGGAGTAGGTCCAGCCCTCTTGCTGCTGGAACACAATCATGGGCACGACAAAGAAAAGGACTGCTCCACAAATGTAGCTAATGAAGTGGACAAAAAACCGCGTGCATGTCTGCAATTAGACACAGGAAAGAAACTAATGTTAGTCACACCTCCCCCCCAAAGAAACATGATCTCTTACTCTGGAGAATCTGCTTACCTTTCGTTTAGTTTTCATTTCAATGAATTCTGAGAGGTTCCTCCCCAGTGCGAGCATGTACTTCCCCACTCTGTTGAGCACCACCACATTGAGAGGTATACCAAAGAGAGCGAAGAACACACAGAAGATCTGACCAACTGTAGTAGTGGGACTCATGTTTCCATAACCTGCAAAACTATGAACTGTTAGTATCTCATAGCGTGCTGGAAGGAGAACTGAGTAGCTTTTACATTGTTCTGTCACCTGCCAGAACAGTAAATTTAGGGCTTTGTGTAAAAAGTCATAGGTTTTTAAAAACAGCAGATGAACAACATACAGATCAGTTTTCATAGCTTCAATATTTCAATGAACCTGAGGTCTTGACTTTTTGGGCCATTGCAAAACTCAAATTTCATTTTTATCATTCTGTAGTAAATTTGTCCATTTCATTAGCTGCAGTTGGCTAAAACTAATGCAATCTTCTTCTTCTTTTGGCTTTTCCCTCTTCAGGGGTCGCCACAGAGAGTCATCCTCCTCCATCTCACTCTGTCCTCACTCCAACTACCTCCACGTCCTCTCGGCCTCTTCTCCCTCTGTCCCTAGACATGTTTCTCTCGTCGTGGTCTTCGACTAACAGTAGCACGAGTTCCGCCGGCGTCCTGTTGGTCAACAGCACCGGTGGTGGTCACTGTTAACCCGTGCCTTGACCGATCCGGTATGGTGTCACTTTGATGAACTCGCATTATAGTTTTGGCAAAAGTGTTTTACGTAGGATGTACGTCCTGACACAACCCTCACCATTTACCCGGGCTTGGGACCAGCACAAGAGATACACTGGCTTTTGCTCCCCAGAGGCTGGTTTGCTAAAACTAATTGATGGAGATGTGAAAGGTCACGGATGTTTTTCACTTATTAATATCAAATGTATATGAACCATGTGTGTGTGTTAAGAGTTGTTATGTCTGGACATAGTGCTGCAGAAACATGGAAGGCCTAAGCTGGTAGGCAGCACCTCTGATAACATGATAAAACAACACTCTTATGCTCTCTTTGAGCAGACTTGGACATGAAGCGCCATGTAAACATCTTGTATTTCAACTCTGTTCCATCTTGCAAGATTAAAACCTGGGGTTAGGAAAGATATCTACTCCTTCCTGTGCGGCTTATTTACTTAATTAGCAAAAAGGGTACTATTAAATTATCCTAACACTAATGCAATAAGATAGAAAATAAAATGCTCACTTAAAGTTTATTTTATGAAAGCATTCAGTTCAGTGTCAAAACTGAACACATTTTATTCAACTGTATGATTCATACATTCATTCATTCATTCATTCATTCATGTTCTAGAATTGCGCTGCTCAAGGTGGCTGCATGTTGGAGCAGCTCTGTTACTTTCATTCTGACATTTTGCTTTTGGAAACTTTAATTCCTGTTTTTCTGGATGTAAATCACATTTTTTGGATGACTGTTTCCTCTGGTATAAGATGCTGTGCAGCTGGAAGGATTTTTACTGAAACTTTTTTAGTTTTGGATATTTGTTATGATGCGTAACCATGGCAACGAGGCAGTTTTCTACAACAACAGCAACTGATTAACATCTCAAAAGCTCCAATAATATCTCAACTACAGCCCCAAATCTCAAGTGAGTTGAAAAGGATATTCTGTAGATGCATTCTCATCTACCTGCCAGTTGTGCTCGAGTGCCTGACCACTGAGATCCTGGAACTAGAAGGAAACACGGCTCATGACAGTGGAAGAACAGGATCGTCCCTCGGAACCTACAGTTGGCTGTCCACAGTGACGAGGAGCTTGGCAGACTGCTGGGAGGAGTGGCCATCACTCTGGGTGGAGTTCTGCCCTGCATTTGGGCGGTCCTACAGCCCGAGGGGAACCGAGAGGCCAGCCGAGTCTGGGTGGATGGATCAGACAGCATCTGCAGCCAGTTTCTTAGGATCCACTGTGGGATAGACCTTTTCAAGAGATCCTTCCTGTCTACAGCCATCAGCATCTATAACATCTCTTAATGAAATGAGGATAACGAGTTACAACAACAAATAATTTCCCTCTGGGATTAATAAAGTATTTTTGAATTGAATTGAATTGAATATGCCACAATTCAACATTATATTTTTGTTTTATTAATAGCTTGCTGCCTAATAGTTAGCTATTATAGCTTTTGCTGCTTATCTTGGCTAGGACAGTTATGTTAAAAAACATTAAATATCTATATATTTACTTCCTAGGTAACTGCACAATGAAGTAATATTTTTTCTCATTGTCTTCATAAAGCTAGTATTCAGTATAGACTTAGGAACAGATCAAATTGCATCAATATCTGGCAACCATTAAATAGATTGTCATTTCCTGGAAATGTAACTTATCATATTTAATTTGGGGATTAAATAATTTCAAACTAAAATAACCTAGTATTCCTTGCATACCAACATTTCAAACAAAGGTCTTGCGTAAACTGCTGTTTGTTGAAGATCACTCTCAGCTCACTATCAAATCTATCCACTTGTTCATGAGATGCTTTGGCCCGCCTTTCATGGTGATAATCCAATTAAATGTGTAAAATAATTGTACTTTGTGATATTATTAGCTCATCACATTTGAGCAACATCATTTTTTAAAGGAAGTGCTTTATGTCTAACCTATAGTTGTGACCACAGTTGCAGCAAACACAGCTGAGCTGGTGAATTTCCAGAAGCCGTCAGTGGTTTGGTTGCCTTTCAGACTTAAACCTGCCTTTGAGGCGTCTTGAACAACCTGAAAAAGAAAAAAAGGAGAAAATATGCCGTTTTCCATATAATTTTTTTTTCTTTAACATTATTTTTCATGGACTTAGGCCAGAATGTGACTCACATGTGACTCCTCTACACAGTAATACACATCTTTAGGGTTATTGGAACACCTTGAAGCTATTTTTGTCTACAAATAACAGCTGTTGCATTCCATGGAGAAACTTCTTCACAGCTTTAGTTCAACATCAGTACAATAAATTAGAACCAATAAATTGTGTTTATGAGCATTTATTTTTACTCATGAACACTTTGTAATTCTCACCCAGGTGTTTTTTATTTTATTTTATTTTTTTTACATAGAACAAGGCAGGGAATTAATTTAAATCTTAGACCTTCGTGCTGCTTCAACAAAAGCTGCCTGCTTGTATTTGTTTTAACACAATGCAAATCGATCTCAGATTACCTGACGGAACTTTTAATTGTCTTTTATGATTTTTATTTAAAAATCTGACAAGGGTCAGAAACCAACTGTGTTCTTCCTGGGTGTTAAGATAAATGTGACGAGCTTCCAAAAGGTTAAATGCAGAAAGTTGCTGCTTTATAAACCCATGCAGGCCTGACACATGCAGACAAGCAAAGCTGAAAGTTTAGACAAGCTATTTGCATGCAAGGAGCTGCATGTTTGTCACAAATGAGTCAAAGTTCAAACGTAATTTATTTATTAGATACTGTACTTTTTAAAATATATATTAAAATGGCACTGTTGCTTAAATTTGCCTTCAAATCAGGTACAATGCTGTGTGATATTTAAGAATCATATAAGCTGTTGAACTGTTGTTTCATGGCTTTCCATACTTTCAGTCATCTACTGAAAAAAAAAAATACATAACTTGCCTAAAAATCTATAAGATGTAAATGCAAATGCAAAATGAATTTCATTCAGTTCTTTCAAATCTTTAATCTAGTCAAGAAGAAAACAACATGAGGAAATGTTATCATGAATTGTATTAAATATATAAAATGTAATAAAGATGACATAATTGTCATCCCACAGTTTGTTTGTTTAGTTTTCATGTTCACTTCAGTACTGCCTGCCCCTTTTTGGATCTGGATTCTGCATCCTGACCAAGGTACCAACTCTGGCTTTCTCCTCTCTGACTACGCTTCATGGATCACGTCTTGGCTCTGGTTTCTGCTCTCAGTTTACCTGTGTATGACCCCTGCTTCGACTAACGGACACTGCTCTTGGATTATCCCCTCACGGACCACGTACAGCACCTGTCTGCTACTGTTGCTGCATACTCTCCACGAGTGACGTTATCCTCACCAACTCGACAACAATGGAAAGCCACAGACTCACAGAACCTCCCCAACCAAGACCTGTTCACTAACCTCTCTGTCTTAACAGATCGGACTCCCCCCTTGGACCCGGACCTCCACCAGCAGCTGTTTTCTAATAAAACTGTTTAAACCATTCCTGGTGTTTGGTGTTGTGTGCTGATCCTACATCCAGTTCTTGTCAATAATGACATCATTTGATTCGAAGTAAACATTTTTTTCTACAATATTTTTTCATCTCATTGGTTTTTGAATGCTGGTTGTATTTGTCAGGATGTAAAGCTCTATTAGGGTGTTAATAGAGTGAAGCTAATCAGTATTTTATAGTTTTCTTAGGCAAAGAGAACTGACACGCCCTGCTTTTGTTAGTCATTTCCATCATAAATACAGCTTTTTAACTGACATCTGCAATTGACCCCACTAAAAGCTGGTCCATTTCCCCCACTATTGAAATCATACCTATTTATTTCCTACTGCGTCATTCCCTTACACACCATCAATAGTAAAAAAAAACACACAAAAAAAAAAAACTTTATTGAACAAGGCCAATAGATTAAGAAAATGTGAATCTGGGCAGGTCAGTCAAGCCATGCTGCTGGAAGCTGAGCAGAACGAGGTCTGGTTCATTTCTATATTCCTTTGCATTAATGCTACCATCACACATCTGCAAGCCAGCTGCAGACACTGATGCGCATACACCTTCTACCGAAAACAGCCTGGATGGTCTACGTAGAACCAGTAGAATCCTGAACTCGTTTTTTCACAGAACACGTGTCCACTGTATTTTTGATTTCTGTTTATCAGAGACAAACTTATAGTTTCATCAATAACTCTCTTAATGTCTACTATGGTTTTAGGCCATATTCCAGGAATGTGTTTCATGATAGGTGTTTTCTGAGGCCCTCCTGACCTCATGTTGTCTTTTGATCAAGAGAAAACGTGATGCCATAGGGTGGTGAGGAAACAGAGGACCTGATGCAGGGTGCATTATTCACAAATAAATCTGGATGTACTAAAGTGTCTGGAATGAAAAAAATAAATCTATGAAAAAGAGTAGATTTAACAAAAAATAACTAATCCAAAGACTAGAACTGGTTTATTCTTTACTGTGGTCTCTGCAGTTACACACAGAGATATTCACACACATTTTCTAACCATTGTCCTTGTTTTGGCTTTCAAATAATATTTCAAGCACACTTGCTAACTTCATACAAACGGACACTTTAGGCACATAAAAAAAAAAAAGTCATTTTTTTTTCTAGTCACATTGTTCATTCCACTGAATCACAACACAAAAGTCAAAATTAATTTTCTTGCACCGACAGTCATGATAATGATTTCTGACAGAAATGTAAATGTGACATTTTTGACTAAGTATAACTCAGTTGCTTCAAAATCTTCCTGCAAACTTATTTATGGGTGAAATACTTTTCTAAGATTTGAAACATTTTCAGTCATCCCATTTGTTTGTACGTGCCACACTTGTAAGCCTTACCTGGGCCACAGCTACCAGACCTTCTTGATTCAGACAGCTGTACGTCGTAAGAAGGGTTTGTTTGCGTTTCCATAACTCACTGAGGTCCTTCTTCCCAAGATCGCCTTCCAGCTTCCAGAAAATCACTCCACCAATCAACACGTAGGCCACATAAATCACGCCGAGCATGAGAATGGACGGCACCCAGGCCAATTTAAACATTTCCTTCACTCCCATATTGACCTGATGGTATGAAGGTTGGTGTCCAGTTCAGCCCAGAGTCTCAGCCTCTGCAGTTGGACACAGAGAGGAGTGAGCCTTAACCAGCTGGGCTTCTCTTCTTGCATTACAGGCAAATGAATGTCCTTGTGTGCTACTGTTTACTTCAATGCCCTGACATGCAAATCTAAAAGAGTAAAATAAGACGAGGGAGACATGGCACCACAGATGGGAATGCCGGTGGTGGTGACTATGATAAAGGTTATATTGACGTGTTTCTGGCCTAAACAAACATCAATATGTGTGTAAGGAAAGGAGTCCTCATATCCAGAAGCAGTAGAAGATATTATTTCAGCTTCAGTTGCATTTCATTAAGTTTTTGCCCATTTTAAACAAACTAAAAACGTATGACAGCCTAAGGCTAGCCCCCTCTTTTTCCAGCTCACATCACCATCTTGATTAATGTGTTTGTTTAAGATAGCCCTCTGTGGTCAATTCACTAGAGTTTCCCATCAGCACACACACTCAGGACTCACATGAACACACAAAATACACAAGTGTGGCAGGATGTAGAAGAAACAACAGCACAAGCCGAAGCTTCCTGTTTGAACATCTAATCGTATAGGTGCGAATCAAAAGAGCACGTACAGAAGTAAACAAAACGCTGATCTGTAGAAGCCGTTTGGTAGAACGGCTGTTTGAAGAGTGGGAAAAACGACAGATCAATTATGCTTTTCACTGAGACGTTGGCTTGTCTGAGGTAGAACAAAAACACAGAATAAATATGTACATACAAAAAGTTTTTGCTAACAAACAGAACTGCTACATTTCATAGGCTTTTTTTGTAAGATATCACAAAACAACCACACAAATTACAGTTTACAGCAGTAAGTCCATATTACTTGCAAATGATCAGCAGTCCATTATCAGTTCTTTGACGTGACCTCCAGTTTACTGGAGGATACTTCATCCTCCTCTTGTCTCTTAAAGCCCGGATGAGTCAGGACAACCACGTTTTCCATGACTCGGGCTCCCATGTTAAGGATAAGAGCGAGCCAGCCGAGCGCAAAGATGATCCAGACACCTGCCAGGCTGCGATAAAGAGAGATGTACTCCTTCTCCGGGTCAGTCCCTTTAAGAAGAAAGAGAACGAGCTTGTTTCAACTTGGAGTCATTCACGTGGCTTTTACAGTAAAGCACAGAATAATGTTTTAGTTTGATTGAGGTGGCAACTGAGGCCTTTCCGCCACATTAGTGGTTGTTTGCTCTCTCTACTCACCCACAACATAATCCCCAAACCCAATGGTACTGAGGGTAATGAAGGAAAAATAGAAGCCCTCGCCAAATGTCCAACCTTCCACGTAACTGAACAGCAGAGGAGGGATGACCAGAAAAAGCAGGCTGCCAGTGATGAAGAAGAAACTCACTGTCAAAGCTTCAACAGCCCTCTGGGACAGAAAAATACACCTTATTCAGGTTTTATTATACAAATTTAAACAAAACATCATAGAATGGAGATACATACCTTGCGGGGAACAACTGCCACCATCCCTCGCTCCAGTCGGCCCAGGTGGATGGTGAGCCATTTGCCCAGCTGTTTGAGAAACGCCAGGTTCAGTGGGATGCCACACAGTGCATAAAACACACAAAACACCTGACCAGACATGGTGCTCGGAGAGAGGTTGCCATAACCTGCAAACCAGGCAAGAGGTATTAATGGCAGCGGCACACACAAACCAGTAGCTGAAATGGTTAATGATGTAATCCAACTGCTCACCAATAGTTGTGACCACTGTCCCTGCAAAGAAGAAGGAGCTGCTAAAATCCCAGTTACTGGGGTTTGTAGAGTTGCCCGAGGGATTCACCCCCTTTTCCCAGGCATATAAAATCACCTGCACACACAAAAACACGCACCTCTGTAAAAATCAATCACATTTCATGTCTGATAAACCAAAATACAAAAATGTATCATAAATATGGAGCTTTGGTTTGGTTGCAAATCCAACATTTTATACAACTTTTGTTAAATAATTGATGTTCACATAACTATGAATTTCTTCCAGATGTTTATTCACTGAATAATTTGCACTATTGACTTTTATTGATCATTAATTTAACAGTTACGGTACACACTTTAGCTTAAGTTACCAATTTTTACATAAAGAAATGCTAAATTAAAATGTAACAACTACTAAATGTGTCTTGAATAAGTCTTAAAATGTAATGACAACCTGAACAAATTTCTCCAGAGCAGGTCCATCCAGGCAGGTGTAATTGGCCAAAAAATTCAGCTTCTCCAGCTGGAAGTGGTTTCGGTTGTTGCTCTCGGCTTCTCTTTCCAGCATCTGGAAGATGGTGGCTCCGATAAGCAGGTATGTGAAGTGAGCCAGCGTCAAAAGTGCCGTCCAGCTCAGGTTGACCTGAGCCAGCTGAAAGCTCGCCATCAACCTTCCGCAGCAACCGCACAAAGGACACGAACAGGGACTCGCACACTCAGAAGTTATTTTTTCTCCCAATTAACATCAGCTTCTTTAGAACGTAACATTCTGCTTGGAAAATTAGAAAAATGATTAAAAGAAGAATCAGAAGTACGGTAAATGTGAGACTGCGTTTGTCTTGAAGCCAGTTTAACATAATAGAAAAGTTGATGCTTGGTCCGCTGTATTGCACTCTAACTTGTAACTCTCTCGCTGATTGGTCAGCGCACCAGAGATGTTGATTTATGGGTTGCCAGGGTAACAACCAAACTACTTTCCTCCATTAACATGACATCTGGACACCCACTGTTTCCACTAATAAGGAAGCAGTGGCAGCATCTTGTCAGCAGAACAAAAGTTAATGTTTTACCTGCCTGCCGCTGGTTGTTTGAGCACCTTGATGCCTTAGCCTTTCTTTGTGATCTGAATGACGGCACTACATTTATTCTTAATTTAGGATACCTGCAGGAATGAACTACTTAGATATGTTTTTCTTGCTATCCTAAAAGTGCTGTTTGCTTTGCATAGAGAAGCATGCTGGAAGAAGCTCCAGATGTTATCCACCACATCAAGAGCTGAGCCTGTTTATTGTCACATGGAGAGTTAAGTTGAGAGCTGCTTGATTGTGAGCCATAAACCGAAGTGTTAAAGAAAGCTTCAAGAGAGAGATCCATGACTTTGTTGTTAATAAGGCAACATGTTGGAAAAAACATTTAAAAAAATCTCCTTGGAGCAGTAGAGACTGCCTTCCAAACTATTCAAAATAAGATAAGATGTTAACAACATAAATTAATATACTTTGTTTGTTTTGTAATGAGTTAGTTTTGAGTCTGTGACAAATCAGGTTACAAGACAACAACTAATGAAACTTCTGTGTACGTTACATTCAGTATCCCACTATATATGTACATTTATATATTTTTGTAATTTGTCACAACTATTGAAAAAAATGACTTATTTTAAAGTAAATCTGCTACAGAGTTAAATAATTTAGTAATATGGAGGCAGGGATAATCAGCTCAACATATTTCATTACTTATCAAAAAATTATGAAATATTCTTTTTTGTCTGCAAAAACTTTAATATGACTTGAAAGTGTGTTAGAACAACAACAAAAAGATAGTTCAGAAAAATTAAATAATTTAAAGGAAAAAAAAGACATGTACTGAGAAGGCTCGGTCTCAATTGAATACGTTGACACAGACAAATCACATTAATTAGTTGATTAATTAATTACATTATGTTTGACTGGTTATCAGCTAAAACTTAGGGGCAAAACTGAAAAACAAATTGACAAAAAAATGTATAGGAAATTCATGAATAGTAAACATAAAGAGGTATTTATTTAAAATGTACCCTTCAAAATATTACAAATAACTGACCAAACAAATGTAAAAACAAGTTATAAATGTATAATTATTTTTTGTTGTATAATTTTGTGTTTATACCAGACTGGAATTTTGTTTCAATTTATAAACCTGTACATAGTTCACAGGTTTATTTATTTATTTTTTATTCATTCTTACTAGGAATGCACAATATTGGATTTTTGGCCGATATACTGATATGTTTAAACTTATTTGGCCGATAACCGATAATATTGTGCATCCCGACTTCTTACTTTTATTTAGACTTCTATCATTCCAAAATATATTTGTTTAGATATCTTAATTTTTACACAAACCTTCAATTGGAACATTTTGGCAAAGTTCAAATTCACCTCAGAAATAAAAGTTTAGCATTTAGCAGTTATATTTGAACATCTTAGAGAAACGCTGGCATAATTAAATCAGGTAAGTATGAACAATTTGTCAAATCTGATTCAAAGAGACAATAATTCATGTATCCATTATGAAACTCTGGTGGAAGCTCGTGAGCTGTCAGGATAAGGATGTTGTTTTAATTATTTGTCAATAAGTGTTTATACATTGTGTACTGGAGTTACTGTCTTTAGACACAACAACAACCGTCTGTTCAGACATGGACAGCTTATTACCAAACAGAAGACATTTTTAATTTTGACTGTTGTTTATCTTGCAGACTAATACAGTCGACACACTGCAGATAAAGAACACTTCACTTCTGTACTTCTGAACCCTCATATTAAAACAGATGGACCACAATAGAGGGAATATCTAATAATTTCAGATTCTGATGGTTCAGACCCCACAACTCTTCTCTTAGTCTCATCTTAGTCCATCCTCAACAAGTTTTATTTTATTACTATTAGCTTTGTCTTTGCATGGTCTACATGTCTACAGTTAAGAGTGAGGATAAGAAAGTGTCAATAAAAATGATTTTCAGGAGCACCCCTCAACCTTTTCAAATTGAATCCATCCAATCCATCCATCCATCCATCCGTCCGTCCGTCCGTCCGTCCGTCCGTCCGTCCGTCCGTCCGTCCGTCCATCCATCCATCCAACATTTTTACCTGCTTCTTCCTTTTCTGGTCGTGGGGGTCACTGGTGCCCATATCCGGCAGTCTGTGCGAGAGAGGCGGGGGACACCCTGGACAGGTCTCCAGTCTATCGCAGAGATGCATAGAGACAAACGAGACAAACGAGACAAACAACCATTCACTCTTTCACTCACACCTAGAGACAATTTAGAGTTACCAATCAGTCTAACATGCATATTTTTGGTCTGTGAGAGGAAACCGGAATACCCGGAGAAAACCCACACAAGCACGGAGGGAACATGCTAACTCCACCCAGAATGGCCGGGATTCGATCTGGTGACTTTCTCGTTCAGAGGCAACAGGTACCAACTGAACCACTGTGCCACCTAATCCAATTTTCACCTCATAAAAAAGATTACATACCAAAATCTTTACAATTAGAAACTAAAAATATATATATCACACAAGAGAGCAGTTAGTTTCTGCTTAACCTCAACATTTCTGACATATTTCAAGTGATTTACTTATTAAGCATCTGATTACATTTCCAGTCTATTTTGAAACCAATTTATTTTCATCCATCCATCCATCCATCCATTATCTTTACCCGCTTATTCCATTTTGGGTCACGTTGGTCGCTGGTGCCCATGTCCAGCAGTCACTGTGCGAGGGGCGGGGTACACCCTGGACGGGTCGCAAGTCCATCACAGGGACACATAGAGTCAAACGAGACAAACAACCATTCACTCTCTCACTCACACCTAGGGACAATTTAGAGTTACCAATCAGCCTAACATGCATGTTTTTGGTCTGTGGGAGGAAACCGGAGTACCCGGAGAAAACCCATGCATGCACAGAGAGAACATGCAAACTCCACCCAGAGGGCCCCTGGACCGGGGTTTGAACCAAGGACCTGCTCGCCACCGTGCTGCCCCAATTTATTTTCCCTTTAATATAAATTTGGTTTGGGATGAATACATTTTACAAAAACACATTGTTTAAATTTTATTTTACTTGCTGTCTTTATAATAATTATTATTGCTTTGTATTGCATATAATTGGTAAATCCTTGCTGTTTGCTTCTCCCTTACATTAACGCTTCAGGCAATGAGGTTGTATTTATAGTGAAGAGATGTAATAAATATAACTTACAGGCCAGGTTGCCTTGGAGAAATAACCATGACAACCAAGATCTGAGGCCTGAATGCAAAGCGTGCAATGTCTTGTCATCTGTCAAACAAATCAAGGCAAAGCCATGCAAACACATTGACAAGTTGTTTCAAATATATAGGTGGCGCCGAGGTGGCTGGATGGATTTTTGCTTATTTAATGTTAAATACAAAACCTGCAAAGACTGGAGACACAGCCAATTGCTAATCACAGCCTTTAGGATCTATGTTAAAGACAATTTCCAGTAATATGTAATAAACTGAACTGGTTATGAACTTTTCCCCCAGCGTTTTTACTACTAATGAACTGTTATATCTGCATCCAATGTGACATTTACAAGGAGTTTTATGAGACAGATTATCTTCTCAGGTTATTTTCCTATTGCGCTCTATGGAAAAAATATAAGCGCACTGAAACCCCACAGCGCACTTGCAGGAAAGCAACTGTAAAGGATTAACCATAGGGCAGATCTAAAAGAGATAAACAACTCTGTGCTCTGACAGTGACCTGGATAAAAAAATAAAAATAAATGTAGAGAACAAGAAGCAACAGGCTCACGATGAATTATTGAACCAAGAGAATCTTTTGCTTACAATTTCTTTATTTTAGTATGAATAATTTCTTCGAGGAAATAACACCTGTTATACAGTATTTTACATAGTTTTACATTTTACACAAACATGAGTGAGCTTTTAAGGTGAAATCAAGTAACTAAAATGCATTTGTTTCTACAAAGTACATTTAGAAACTTCCCCACAACAAACACCGTCCTGCCATATTCTATGACTTTAAATCTGTTCATACAAACCAGTTGTTACTGATCCCCTGAATCTGATTTAATTTGCAGATTTATTTTTTATCACCTGGGAGAAGTTGAGGCGATTGTGTCTTGGGTCTTCATTTCACGTTTGAGATTGGCCTGAAATATACAAGACACACACTTGAATTGTCAGTGAGGATTATTGACAGTAGGACACTTTTTCACTGAAAGGGCTTAATGTTTAGAAACACAACGTGCACTGATCTTCCTCGTCTTAAAAACTTTAATTGCAGTGCCATTAAAAAAAGAAAAACTCAAAAGTCACCAGTCTAACTATTTTTTTTTTCGCTCCAGTGCTTTTGCTAATTTGCACATTTGTTTGTTTACATGACCTCAGCTGCTCTGAATATCTGATGGCAAATCAAAACGCTTTTCAGAGCAAACATGTACTTAAAGGTCACAGAAAAGGAACAGACTCGAAGAGTGTGAATGGGAGTGTAGTTGAAAAGGTGGAGTTGACTGTATGCATTTTTTATTAAATATTGTATCTGATACAATATAAGCTGTTCAGCTACAACCAAACAGCTCGTTTCCAGTTTTGTAATAATGAATGCAGGAAAGTACAGCTGAGACTTTCCTGGAACATGGTTATTATGTTTTTCGGACTATAAGGCACATTTAAAATCTTTTAATTTTCTCAAAAATCAACAGTGAGCCTTATAATCTGGTGCGCCTTATGGATTAATTCTGGTTGTGCTTACTGATCTTGAACCGATTTTATGTGGTACACAGCGCTCAAAAATCTGTCAAAATGTTTTAGTACGACTTCGGTAAGCTACGAAGCCGCACCGCTTGATGGATTGTCGGAGCATTACGGCTACCGTAGTCAGGAGTTTTGTCGTACCATATCTGTATCAGTATCTGACTGTTTTGTTTCACTTAATGCACCTTATGCACATTTCCACACAACACAAAAAAAATTTAACACTGAACTCTGCATCATTAAAAACAGGTTATACACTCAACACACGTTCATGTGCTCATTCAATTTGCACTACAGTTTATATTTTTTACTAGCCTTACTATATTGCATATGCCACTTTACCTTTATATCAATATCAAGGACTTCATACATATATTGTGTACATTCACTTCATATGTTGCATTTGTCACTTTACTTCAAATGTCAATGTCAGGACCTTCATAATTAGAGATAAACTTTTTATATTTATACTGCTATACTTACAATTTAGGATAGTATCATACTTTTATTATTTTATTTTATGCTAACTTTTATTATTTTATGCTAATGTTTATTAAATGTTTAATGGTTATTGTTGCACCAGGGGTCTGAGCGTAATGCATTTTCAATCCTGTGTATGTCGTGTACATATTGCAGTTTTTACAATAAAGTTGACTTTGACTTATAATACGGTGTGCCTTATAGTCCGAAAAATGTTTTTTTTATTTTTTTTATTTACCATTCTGCACAATTTCCAACAGCATTCTTCAATGCTACAAGGACTTTAAATATAAAAACAAAATGGACATATATTGTTAAATGTTTAAGAATCTCTACTTCAGTGTTAAATCCAGGTTGTAAACTAACTTTGATTAATCAAAACTAATCAGTGCTAACGAAGCTAAGCTTTAGGATGTAATGTAATGCCTTGCACCAACAGAGTGCAGTGTTAAACTTACATCATTTATGTGTTTTATGTGTATTTATGTGTCTGTTACATTACCTATCCTGCTGAGGAGGTTTTTCCGAGCCATGACAAAGGCCAGGATATCTGCATCAACTTGCTGATCTCCAGTCAGTGGAATAGAAGATGATGTGATTGTTGTTGTAGCGAGATCCCTGAAAGGTACTCAGGGTTATACTGGCATTTCAAGAGTCATATATATATATATATATATATATATATATATATATATATATATATATTTTTTTTTTTTTTTTTTTTTTTCTTATTTTTTTTTTTTCTCAAACACATAGAAGTGGGAGTGTATCAGCCTGAGAGACTCTCATTCATAGATCTAAACACCACTGCTGTTCAACATTTCATCAGTTCATATGTAAAGATTTAATGCAAAAACTTTAACAGGCACCATCTCCTTATATTTTACAGCCTCTGAGTAAAACAATGAATGGTTTGTGCTGTGAGTGCTTGTTTGAGAGCAAGCACATACATAATGCATCAAGTGTTTAACAGCAACTGTAAAAAAAGGAGCCTTCAACATCTGGGTTTAAGGTGAGGCTTTTTGATTTGTGAACATTACACGTAGACGTTACTTCACAAAGACATAAAACTTAATGGCAGCACTCGTCAGTGAAAAGAAAACACAGAAAAGCTATAAAATCTGCAGACTGGACGTATGGATTTAAAGGGTGCTCCAAATGTACAAAAAGTGCTACTGTGTGTGTGTGGTGAAGGATATTTGACTGATTTCAAGTTACCATATATAAAAACCTTATACGGGACATGAAATTGCAAATCTCTTATTAGTCATGTTACAATTCTCAAATCCACAAACAGTAAATAAAGACTTGAATTATTTATGTACCTCCATTCAGCAGAAGGCTTGAAGTCAGGATCCATCTTCCCATCTAGAGACTTATTCAGCCCGGCTGCCATGGGGACGTTAATGGGGACAGGGCTTCTGAAAGTCACATACATTGAGTGATTTCTGCATTGTGATGGAAAGTTAAATAGTGGTATGAAGTAAAATCTCAATGTATTCAACAGGAAAAAGATAAAGAAAAATAAAACGTGTCTGACCTCAGATCTTGAGTTAAAGATAAAGAGACTGCTCGGTCTGGATTTGTGTCTCGGTCTGTTGGAGATTCTTTCATTGTGCTGCTCAATGCAGAAGAACTGGAAAGAAAGGGATTTTTAAATTTTAAATAAAGACTTTTGCAATAAATAACCACAGAACTGTGATTTTATAGGTACAACAAACCATGGAATCTTCATAAAGCACATTTTATCTTGTACATGCACTTCTAATCACAAGAGGGAGCTACAATATAAAAGTGTGGTTGATGCAGGTTTATCAGAAATACATTTAAGACCTATTAGTACAAAATAGAATGCAATTACCTGCAGTTTAACATGATGATGACGCTCAAATCAAAGTGTATCAAATCATATAATACTTTTACTATTCATTATTACACTATTCTAACTTTTCTCATGACCAATTTTTATTGCAAAATTAAATACAGTGTTGACACATCCTTTCACTGTTTTGTGACTGAGCACATTTGACATCAGAACTTTTGTTGTGGCAGATCTGGGAAGATAAATGTGTCATTACTCATGTTGTTAACATCATTAACGTCATGAAACAAACACGATGCCAGTAAAAGCAGATCATTAATCGATATGTGTTCCATGGAAATGAGCACAAAAGAGCTGCAGATGGTTTGTGGGATAGCCGAGTGATTTTTCCAGCACAGATGGCAAAAATAACATAATGTAAGGACTGAGACAAGTGAGAGGTGTTTCTCCTGGTAAACTGGCAACTTTCTGAGTGTAACCAGAGTTAAGAAAATAAAATGTAAACTCAGTGACATATCCACCTGCTTTTAAAATGAGTATATTTGGCTGTTCAACATCAATACCACCAATGTATCATCAAAAGCACAGCTATCAGTTAAAAAGAAAATAAAAAGTTGTTGGTCATTTCATTTCACTTCAGTGTGACAGATTCAGCTTTCTCATATTTATTTCTTCTCATCTTCTACTTAAAATCATAATTTTTTCAGCTCAGTTCAGTTTATTTATATAGTGCCAAGTCACCACATAAGTCATCTCAGGGTGTTGAACAGAAACATTCATATACAAAGTATATATAAAAAAAAGTTAACACTATATATCTGAAGAGCAGACTGCTTTGAATTTAACTTCATTGCAGAACTCTCTTGAGCAAGCACGAAGGTGACAGCGGAAAGGAAAAACTCCCTCATGAGGAAGAAACCTTTAGCAGAACCAGGCTCAGGACAAGTAGCCATCTGTTTCGACCAGCTGGGTTTGGTAGGAACAGATACACAATGGCAAGTGATCACATGTTAAAATAGAAATAGTATCAAATGAAAACTATTCAATTTTAACAATTCAATTAAGGAAATCAGGTCAATTTGTCCTCCAGTAGTCTAGTATAGCAGCATAACAAGCCAACCCCAATTATAGGATTTATCAAAAAGGAAAGTCTTAAAACTGGACAATGTGTCAGCCTTACAGACAAAAACTGGAAGTTGGTTCCACAAGAGAGGAGCTGAACTGAAAAATCTTCCTCCCAGTCTGCTTTTGGAAACTCTAGGAACCGCAAGTAAGCCTGCAGTCTGAGAGCCAAGTGCTCTGCATTTACCGGTACTGTACCTGGTAAGTGAAAAGTCCAAACATTCTTTGTTGTATATCTTTTCACTTGTGTAATGTTATTATCGAGACTTTTAAACATCATTTTATTTAACAGCGGATTTATTTACCCTTTATTTATACAGGTAGTCTCACTGAGTCATGAGAACTCATTTGCAATAGAGACCTGTTTTTGGGAGCAGAAGGTGGGGGTTAAGGGCCTTGCTCAAGGGCCCAGAGTGGGGCAAATGAGGGCGGAGGCAGGTGTGGGTGCTTCACCGTTCCCACCCACATTTTTGATGTTGCCAGTCCAGGGAGTTGAACCTGCGACTTTCCGATCACAGACCCATCTTCTCTAACCTCTGCGCCACCACTCCTCAGGATAATGGATAATGCTCTATAACTTATTTATTTGCTGTATTCAATTCTGACCAGAAAATCTGACTTTCTGAAAATTTGTTTTGAAGATGGGAAGTAAAAATAAATACATAATAAAATTAATCCACATGCTTATTTTTCATATTATGCACCATTAGTAAAAAGTAGACCAAAAAAACCAAACTAAAATTGTTTAAATTTAGCTTATATTAGCAATAGTTCCCTTAAGTCTGTGAAAACTTAAAAGATGCAGAAAACACACAGAACTGATCATAATTGTAGCAAATGCGCTTATCAATGTTTTGAAGCGTTTCTATAATTATTTAGTTAGGATGGTTTATTGCATATAAACAATGGCTACTTTGCAAATAAAGCAAATCTATCTGGAAATAAAAATGCAACATTCCAACACTTCAGTCTGAGCTAACTCTGCTGTGAATTAGAGTAATTTATATCTGTGCAACAATAACTAAAAACATAAATTCTGACAGACAAGAGGAGTTAAGTATCTTATTTTTTCTTGTAAAAACTGCTGCAAAGAAATAGGCTCTAAAAACAAGATATAAAAGAGCTTTGCTTCTGTAATCCTGTTCAATTTTGACCAATATTTGTTATGAATGAATCAAGAATTTGTGCCACTTTGTGAAAAAAGATACATGACACGTCTCTTAAATTAATTATCAATGCATCTATTCTGCAGCAGGGTAAAATAAAAATGTCTCACCAAAATCCTGGAGTGCCAGGTGAAGATGGCAGCAAGGATCCATTTGGTGAAGCCGTGTTACATCTGGCTGCAGCTCCCAACTCAGATTCCTGATCACAAGTATTGAGAAATGACTCATTTGTATCTAAATCAAACACCAATAATAGTTGTGATAATAAAACAAGATGAACAGTGGAGATATGATCATTTGTGTATTTTAGCTCAGTACTTTGACAATGTTGAAGCAAGTACATATCTGCAGTAAATACTTGAACAAAGCTGTTGGACATAAACTGGCAAGATAAAAAAAAAATCTGCTTCCTGCTTTGTGAACCAAAAGCTGCACATCTGTCAGACTTCCTTTTTGAACCAGTGGCCTTTCAGTGATATGTTTCCAAACAGATGTGAGTGAAATTTTCTGCTTCATTCATAGGATCAAAACCCAAAGAGCGGAGGCCAGCAGTGTCTGTTCTTCAGATGTCTTAACATCTTTTCTGTGTCTGTTTTCCAAAAAGTGCACAAACAGACGTCAAGGCCCAAACACAGAGGCTTCTCTGTGAGTCAGTGTTACACATGCATATTCAGCCAACCATTCTCTCCTGAAGCTTTTGTATATTAGACTAAAATAGACAATGAGTCATGTTATTATACACTGTTACTATTGAAGTCTTGTTTTATTGGCGTCACGTGGAATAGAGAAAAACAAAAAGCATCTCTGTGTTTTTGACGCCTACGTTTCCTCCCACCAAATCCCAATGGGCTTGATGCCAAGCAGAGGTTGAATTTGATGCATTTGTATAATAAAACCCTCGTAAGTCAAAGACACACATATATCAACACATTTTAAGATGTCCACAAAGACCAATATGCTAAAAAAAAAATTATACAAATGCAATGGACAAGCCTAATATCGGGACATCTTTGTGCTGTCGTTACGTCACAATTTCAGATTTATGTGGCGTTGTCACACATTTAGAAGTGAGGTCAGTCACCTGCAAATTAGAAGCCTCCTGGCTCCACCACTTCTGGAAATCTTTCTGAATCTTGACCTTCACCCTCTCCAACAACAGCTGCAGGTGCTCAATCTCCGTCTTCAGAGCTTTTAGGCACCCTATAGTGTTCTTATAACTGACAGGGGATATCGGCAGCACACAATTTATTCTTTGTCTACGTTACACAGCACCTGCTGCGTTCAGTCAATCCAACAGAGACTCAGGAAAATCTTATACAGATAAAACGTTCGGTACATAAATTCAGAAACTCACGCTGTTTTTTCGTCTTTAATCTGTTTGCGCAGGTTTTCTTCCACAGGGTCCAACTCCTCCTGTGCGTGAGTTCCCATCATATCTATTTGGGCAGGATTTAGACAGATTTACAACAGAAAAACACAAACGCAACCAACATTTTTGTTTTAAACTCATCAACTTGTAACACATATGTGTATTATATTTCAAGAAAGAACTCAACTACTGGTCCCAGATAACAAAAAACAGACTCTTGGATGCTGAGATTCAAAATAGAAAGAAAAGTTTTCAATGTCTGTATTGGAAAGAGATGTTTTTGTGTTTGATGATCAGATCAAAACAGTCAGAAGCGATTAACCGAATGAGTCGTGGAGTTGAGCTGCCTGGTCTTGGGTCTTTGTCAGTTTGAAGAAACTTTGAAGTGGCCACTGATGCACATGCAGAACAAAAGCACCCACAATATTCAGTGTTTACAACCCTTTCAGATGAGAGCGTAGCATCAAAAAGATGCTAAAAAAGTTTCCAGTTGTTAGTTTTGTTCAAAGTTTTAGTTTAAATTTCAGCTATGATGGAAGATCTTTTCAACTTTCTTCAGTGATTCATATCCTTTCACTCCAAATATGGTTAACCATACTGATTACTGTTTAAAGCTTTAATACGCACATGTTAAAATTATGGAATAAAAACACATTTTATATTTATAATCTTACCGTGAACTGCCTTCTGTTTCCTCCGCATCTCTAACTGCTTCTTCAACTCATCTAGGGAAATTTCGAAACATTTTTTTTAATATAATCAAATACAATGTACACTGTATTTTTGTTGTAGTCAAAATAAAACAAGAAAAGCAATCCGCAGTGTCATTTTTAAATCCTCATAAAGTTTGAAAAAACACTAAAACTGTCCAAAATGATTTTTAAACAGTAGCATTTATTATGTTGATTTTAAATTATATATATGTGTCTTAAAAAAACACATGTTCCTCCTGGACTGAAAGACAACATGCCCATATGTTACATCAGTTGTCAGTAGGTGAAGTATAGTAGCTTTAGGCTGGAGAGAAGTCAAAGGTACAATATTATGCTAACACTGAACAACACATCTGAGTTTAGTTCATACATGATTGTATATACCGTATTATTAATATATCATATTATTTTACATTATTAGTGTTTAGTGTATATCTTAGATCCTTGTATACCATTTCTTTTTATACTTTATATTCTTTTGTAGCTATTTATGGGTATAACTGGGACCTTGAGTACACAATTTTGTTCCACCTCATGTACCACATGTGATGCAAATGACAATAAAAAAAAATCTTGAAACTTGAATAATTTAGACTTTCCCTTTTGGTGTGCAAAATTCATACAGAAGGGTAAAAATCTAAAGAAAGGAGTCGAGATGTTGCTGCCTGAAGTGTCCTGTAGGAAAGAAAAGATCCAGACTACTGATGCTGTTGCAAAATTTAAAAACTGTGTTGCTGATGCATCTTCTTAAATACCAACTTCATTCAAATCGAAAATGTTGGAACTTAAACTTTAGAGGCTGCTGGCCCAAGTTGGGGGGAAAAAAATCAGTTTAAAATGTGCTTTTGCAAAACAAACAAACAAGCAACAACCAAAGGCCCAATAGTTTTTAACGTCTGAGCTGTCTTTTGTATTTAACCGGCACTCTTTTTTCAAAAAGACGTTTTTGTTTAAATTGTTTGCAAAGTGCCCTTGAAACCAGCTTATCGTTCCAAACTCATCGAAAGCACAATTCACCGCTTTGGAGATTTCACTAGACACTGGAGACATGAATGGATGAGGTGACATATTATACGTGACATAGAAAAACATTTCATGCCATTGATGAGAGAGTTTTTTCCAAATGCCTAGGAGTTTGAATCAGAATTTGGGAACATCCCATGAAGCCATGTGTTTGGGTAGCTGAGAATGTAAATGAACTTAGATGCCCTGCGACGTCATTTTGTGGTCCAGTAGGCAGCCTGATTCATCTCTAACAGACACACAACTCTCTTAAATATGCCCACAACTAACTGATGTAGGGTCTCCTTCTTTAAAGCAGAACAAAGGGATTAAGAAATGTCTCTGGATCGATGACAGCATGAAAGCTGCAGAACACGCATGAAGGCATGATGAGGACAAAGTGTTACTGCCAGCACATCAGTCATGGCATGAAGCCGTCTTGAAGCCCTAACGTCAAGCTACAAAACAAAAGAGCACAGTAGGGAAATTTCATTTCTGATTATATAATATTGTAGTGACCACACATCTTATATGCGACAGATCTTTTGTGCTTGATTTGTGGGGCAATAAAAAGTAAAAAAAAGTTATAGGACACTGTAACACTAAGTACCACAAATTCAACATTAAACACAACCAACATTTGAGCAATAGCTGCATTAACAACCAGCGTTTGATGTAGTAAAGCTACAGACGAGGAACCAATGACCAAAACATGCATTATACAGATAGTCTCATTTTACTGGGAATTTTTAAAATTGTATTAGAATTTGACTGAACCTATTGGAATAAGCAGAAAACAATAGTTTCTTTGCTTTTCTGTCTTTTTATTACTGTTATTGCAAATGTACAGTAGGTCTTGAAAAGTTAAAATTCATAAGAATAGGAGCAAACAAGATGGCTCTATAAAGGAAAAAAGTTTCCAGTTCATGTCATTAAGTAATGCATATGTTAAGCTTCTTATAATTGCTAATCAGAAAAAAAACAAAACAAAGGGAAAAAACAGAGTATACTCCTGATTTAAAATAAATTAGTTATCCTAATTATCAGGGTATTCAGAGCCTTCAATAGTTTGTTGGTGTTGGAAACGTAGATGCAATGAAAGTCTCAGGTCTTGCTCCCAAATGTTCTCATTATCTTGAAAAGTTTCCCTCTTTTCTTAGGCAGGAACATTCAAGCTCCACCAAGCTGGATGAAAAGCATCAGAGCACAAAACATGTTCAGCTTTCTCCAGAGATGGTCTCTCCCAGATTTTTCCTTGTATTCATGGTAATTTTTTGCTGTTTGCTCCAGAAATGTTAAAAAAAGCTTGAACTCAGCTTTGCTTTATACTTTTTTCCTCAATTGCATTTAGACACCACTTTCTAGAAGCCTCTTGGTGGTTTCAAACTTCCTCAGCTTTAGACATGCTAATATTTGTGTGAGATAGAAATAATGCTGTGAATACTTAGACATATTTTTAAAATACTGAAATGATGACTCGCAGTGTAAAACAGTAGGAATAATCAACACTCGAACAGGCCAGCCTTTTGAGCTGTCAAATTTGACATTCCTGACTGCAACTGGTATGGAAATCTAATAAATCTGCATACATGTCTTGTAATAATAGGGAGGGCTCTGATTGTGGCAACACTTGATTACATTTCAGCGCTCCAATTCCCCTTCTAAGACGAGATTGAGGGCTCAACATCACATCATTCTTAAAAGCATACAGACTTTTCTCACACGCAATCAAGGGACAAATAATCTTCTTTGCAGGCAACTTTCAAGGGACAAGTCTTCATAAAGAGTTCAGTGACTTTTTTGTAAGCTGAAATTTAAATGTGTTGCATAAACTACCAAAAGCATAAACAAGGAGCAACATTTATACGCACAACAAGCCGTATGCTGCTCTAAACCATTAACTTTATTTAGGAAGACGAAACCCCAGCTGAAGAAACTGAACAAATGTGATTTTAACTCTACAAGTATCACATATCAAAACAGATGGAACCTGAGAGGCTGTTGATACTAAACTGAAAAAAGTACCGAACACATTCTGTTTTTGTTGGACAGATGTGTTTAGGACGCTGCTGCCTAAACAAGAACTTTCTATAAACCAATTTCATTTGCAACCTTAGAAATGGAAAAAGTCAATCAGCAGCAGCCTTTTGAGATTTAATTTATGACATCAAAAAGTTGGTGATGCAGACATTCTGCAATATTTACTCCCCAATATTCTTGTTTGTATTTGATAGACACATACATTTCAGTCTAACAGAACTGAGCCTAAAGGTCATTTCAGTAAAGCAAAGTGTGATAACTAAACAGATTCCAGATGTTTTCAAACTATGCTGCATAAATCCTGTAACATCTGGTAGAGTCATTAGGAGATGCTGCTTGCTTCCAGCTGGCCCTCACCTTTTATACAGTAGAGAATGTGCATCACTGATCCCTCTGAACACATTTAAACCCTTGCACTTTCTGGACTTTTGGGCTCAAAACGTATACTCTTCCACTGGGATTGGATTCCAGGCCCACATGTCAAAGCCAAGAACAATAGTATAAACCAGGAAAATGTTTACACACTAATGTCTCCTTGGGCTACTACCTCTCCCTCTCCTTTCTGCTACTGACCCTCATGCTGGGTAGAACCATCAGAGAAAGCTGGTGTCTATATTATGCTAACAGTTTCCATGATCTGCATTAGCCATAACACACAGGTGTGAATAGTGTCCAAACAGGGCATCCATGGCAAAGAAACTCATGGAGTTAAATAGTGAGGTTCTTTTAACAAGCCAGGAGAAGCAACCACCTTCCATTAAAAACACAGTATCATCTACAAAGAATGCTGCTCCATACGTCTAACAATGTAATGGTATCTGACAGCACCAAGATGCTCTGGGAAAGGTTTTAATAATGTCAATGAAAGAAAAAGAAATTTGCTTTGAAAAACTCCAACCAAAAAAATGTTAGAGGTTTTGCTCCATTTTATCCACCGTGTGCGGGCAACATTGAGCTATGTGTGCAGAGTTAATACTCTACACACTGTCAGAGCTGATTTTTTGGTGATGCAGAAGATATACCGCTTTGTCAGCACCTCGTGGGATCAAATGAAAAAAAAAATAAAATAAAATCAATTCTAATGGTGATAAATGCATGCCGGCATATGTGAGTGAAATGACTGAATGCTACCAAACCACTGAGCGTGATCTAAGGCAGCAGTGATGCCAAGCTCTGAGAAAACATATCCATTTCAACTGCATGTGGAATGAGCCACACAGTCCATGACAAATCATAAATTTGGTATGCATTACAAATTGCAAACCAGCTAGAAGTCGGATAAAACATTTTACTGCAGTAAAAAGTTTGATGATAATATTGTAATACCGGTTTGTGTCACTTTTAAAAAGACATTTCTTCACATATTTCAGTGTAAAGTTTTCAGTTAAGTGTTGCTAAGTTAATGATTTAATCAGATCCAACTAATTTAGTTAAATTAAACAAACAAAAAACAACAATATAATAAAGTGCTAATCATTGACCTCGCATTATAGTTTTGGCAAAAGTGTTTTACATCGGATGCCATTCCTGACACAACCCTCACCATTTACCCGGGCTTGGGACCAGCACAAGAGATACACTGGCTTGTGCTCCCTGTGTCTTTGTGGATTTAGAAAAAGCATATGACAGAGTGCCGAGGGAGGAGGTGTGATATTGCATGAGGAAATCTAGAGTGGCAGAAAAGTGTTAGACTGGTACAGGACATGTATGAGGACAGCAGGAAAGTGGTAAGATATGCCGTAGGAGTGACAGATAGCTTCAAGGTGAAGGTGGGAGTGCATCAAGGATCAACTCTGAGCCCCTTCTTGTTTGCTCTGGTGATGGGCCAACTAACAGATGAGGTCAGGCAAGAATCCCGATGGACGATGATGTTTGCAGATGACATTGTGATCTGTGGTGAGAACAAAGAACAGGTGGAAGAGAACTTGGAGAGGTGGAGGTATGCACTTGAAAGAAGAGGAATGAAAGACAGATTGAGACAGACTGATTGAGACAGACTGTGTGGTTCGAGGCCGACTGAGGCCGATGGAACAGTGAGGCTACAATGAGCAGAAGTCACAAAGGTGCAGGATTTCAAGTACTTGGGGTCCACTGTCCAGGAAAATGGGGAATGTGGTAAAGAGGTGAAGAAGAGAGTCCAGGCAGGATGGAGTGGATGGGAGAAAAGTTTCAGGAGTGATTTGTGACAAAAAGGTGTCAGCAAAGGCCAAAGGAAAAGTTTACAAGACAGTGGTGAGACCAGCTATATTGTATGGTCTGGAGACAGTGGCACTGACAAAAAGACAGGAGAAAAAACTGGAAGTGGCAGAAATGAAGATGCTAAGGTTCTCCTTAGGAGTGACAAGGCTGGATAAGATTAGGAATGAGATCATCAGAGGTACAGCACAGGTTGAACAACTGGGAGATAAAGTTAGGGAGGCCAGACTGAGATGGTTTGGACATGTCAAGAGGAGGGACAGTGGGTATATTGGTAGAAGGATGTTAGAAATGCAGCTGCCAGGAAAAAGACAAAGAGGAGATATATGGATGCAGTTAGAGAGGACATGGAGGTAGTTGGAGTGAGGACAGAGGATGCAGAGGACAGAGTGAGGTGGAGGAGTATTACTCGCTGTGGCGACCCTGAAGAGGGAAAAGCCGAAAAAAGAAGAAGAAGAATAAAGTGCTAAACATTGTGCCTAACAATGATATAAAACATAACAAAAATATCTTCCCTCGCTTCTAAGGTTATATGTGTAAAGGCATAATAAGAAAGATCTGGTTCTGATCTGATTAAATAACATTTTACAGCCTCAGCTAAAAACACGATATTTACATTGTGTCAATATTTATTTAACAAAAATGAAGCAAAAAATAAAAATATAATTTTCTGTATGATCTAAAATAAAACTCAAAATATTTTGGGTCCATTATTTATTATTTTATTTTGGGGAGTGGTGGTGCAGAGGTTAGGGAAGGTGAGCCTGTGATTGGACGGTTGCCAGTTCGACCTCCCGGACCAATAACATCAAAATGTGGGTGAGCAAAGTGAAGCACCCACATCTGCCTCCACCCTCATTTGCTCCACTCTGGGCCCTTGAGCAAAGTGCTATGTGTTGTCATCATTGTACGTTTCCATATAGTGGTGAAATTGGTTCTCTGGATTTAACCAATCATACCTGGAATACACCCAGGTAGAGCAGTGGGTAGTTATGCAAGCGCCCGGAGAGCAATTAGGGATTAGGTGTCTTGCGCAGAGACACCACGACATATGGGAATGGCTGGGGATCAAACTTGGGACTTTCGGGTCCCAAGTCGGCTGCCCTCCTCTACCCCATCTCAGCCCAAAACAAGGCCCTTAATCCCCATCATCTGCTCCCCAGGGTACCCTGAAGGGAGCTCTCTGCTCCACACAGACAGCTGTGGTAGCTCAGTGGTCTGTGGTTGCATCAGGGAAGGCATCGACATAAAAACAATTGCCAAGTCTTTCATGCGAGTTAGTTCACTGTGGCGATCCCTGATGAAGTGAGCAGCCCCCCCCAAAAAAGAAGAAAATAAATATATAGATATAGATATTTATTTTTGTTATAGTTTTTTCTCTTAAATGTTTTTTTAGCCATTCTGTGGTACATTGTCAGGTTGCATGACCCAGTTTGACCCAGCTGTCGAACAGATGGCCTCACATTTGACAATATCATAAGCTTGTGTACAGAGTTCACAATAAACTAAATGACAAATATATCCAGATTCTGTGGCTGCAAAACAAGCCCAAATCATCAGCCCTCCACCACCATGCTGACAGTTGCTTTGAGGCTTTTTGCTGATATGCTGCTTGGTTGCAAACCTGCTGTGGTGCCTTATGACCAAACATTCAATTCATTTTAATTTAGTTTATTTATATAGCGCAAAGTCACAGCAGAAGTCATCTCCCACTTTAATCTCGTTTCCAAGAAAATGTCAAGAAGTCTTGTGGTTTGTTCAGATGAAACTTTGCAAACCAAAGCTTTGCAATCATAATCTTTTTAGAGATAAAAGTATTTCTCCTGGCAACCACCTAACTGTCTTTGTCTAATTGTGCTGCCATGAACTTTAATATTTAACCTAAAGTGTGAGTGGAGCTTTTTTTTTTCTTCTTCAAATATTGTATGCACTGTCCTTGGGATGAACTTGCTAACCTAGTCTTGAGAGGAAAGGCAGCTGTGTTGAATATTTTGTGTGAGAACCATTGATAAATGAGCTCACACTTGCTGAAGTTTAGTTAATTACTATTTATTTGATACATTTGATCAGCAGCACCTGGTTGCCACCTACCTGCTTAATTCCCATGGAAGCCGTGATAATGTGCTTGTTTTTCCACACACTGTTTCAATACTTTGTTTTAGCTTTGTTAACTAATAAACAACACAATGTTACTACAATATTGGTCTTATGTAAATATATCCATACAATGTTAAGACTTTGTAAATTTCAGCTCCCATATTTTACACTTAGGAATGAAAAGATACTTTCTCACATGAAGGATGTGTAGTGCATGCTACAGCAGACAAACATTGGAGATATTTGGACTCACTAAACCTTACACTCCAACTCAATGCCAAGCCTAATTTTGTCTGAGTAAGTTAGTGACTTTCCTGGAAAACTCAGGGGTGCACTCACAGAATAGTCATAAAAACAGTCAGAGACAGCCTTGTAAAAACGTACAGGTTGGAAAGCTACTGTAGATGATGGAAATTTGAATGCCTTTTGCTCCTGGAAAAGTTTAGGAATGTGTTGACACTCCAGGGACCCAACACCCTGAGAATGATCTGCTAATTAATGTTCTAACTATGGATAATAGCTTGAGTAATACACAAAATTAAACAATTCCAAACTATGCTGTAATCTCTAGAGAATGACTTCCAACAGTTGGTGGAACTTACTGATTCGGTTTTTGGTTTCCCCAAGTTGTTCTCCAAGTTTTCTGGCTTCAGCTGATCTATTAAAAGAATCCAGATGTGATAAACCACAATAAACCTCTTCAACAAAACATATTTAAACAGAATGTGGAAAATGGAAAATTTACCGTTGAAAAAATCTGTCACAGAACAACAGATTTTTAGGTAAAGTAACAATTCTATACACACAGCGTTTTAGTCAATGATTAGAAACATTTGAATGTTTTTCAGATAAGAAAAACAAAAAAAATATTTTTAGCTGTTATTGATAGTGGTTTCCAACCCTGATCCTCGAGGAGCACTGACTATCCTGCATGTTTTAA